CAGCAGCTCGCCGATGGTGGAACGCCGACGCATCGAGGAGGAAGGAGCGGCGGCGCGGAAGGAAATTCTTCTCGTTTGGGAAGGGCGATGCTGGAACGTGGCGTACGACCTGGGCCGTTACCATCGAAACAAAAAGTTGTGGGCCTTACGCTGCCCGATTACTGGGAGCAAACCCAGCTAGCTCTGCGGAGCAGCAGCCCGCGAGACGGGGCGTGCAGCGCGTTAGCGATCAGGGACGACCAGAATTGATCTGGAGTGTATGTTCGAGCGATCCGACGGCTAGACACTCAAATCGCTGTGAAGGCTCCTAACTAGCCTCGTTATACTGTTTCTTAATAGAATACTCCTATTTAAGAGTGGAATAGATGATTTCATGATTTTTTAAATATGTCATATAATGTAAAAGGTCCTCTTGAAATTGTGATTTTGCAAAATTAACTCATACCTTTTCTGCTTGCTAGCTCACGACAGTGCAACTATGCACTTCATGAACAGCGCACTTAACAGCGACCATGTTGTTCCTTCGATTATTGGACCCTTTTCCTCCTCACATATGACTGTTCAGCTACTGTGCTTTCCGAATAGTAACTGCAAACCAGACGCACGCACACAAATCGATCCAGAATTTAAGGCAACAAAATAGACAACCTCCATTTGCCCTAAATAGGCCTCCTCCGACGATTAGACATCGCCCGACAACCAACGCATGGATCAGCTCCCTCTTCTTGGGAGCGGCCCCAGAGCCGCAGCCATTACCGGCAATGCATTAGCTCCCTCCTTCGTCGCGATGGATCAGCACGCAGCCTCTACATCCACTTCACCACCGGAAAAGGCGCCGCCGGCGACGCCGTTCCGGGCCCCGAAACACCGTGGAAAGTCCAACTACAACAGGAGATCATCTGACACGATCAAGGCCAAGATCATGTCGCACCCTCTCTATCCGGCTCTCCTCGGAGCCTTCATAGACTGCCGGAGAGTACGTGCATAGCCGAACACAGCTTGTATATATCTTGGTGCCCTGCGACTGCTGTTTCTCATCTTGTTATTTGCTCTGCCCCAAGGTCGGAGCGCCGCCCGAAGTTGTCGGTCGGCTCTCCTCCCTCGTCGACGAGCTCCAGCCGAGTTCAGATGACATGCAGGAACAGCCAGCGGAGCCAGAACTCGACCAGTTTCATGGTAATATGATTAGCTTCTTAGCTGGCTGAATTATTTGCATACATGGATCTAGCGATATGCTTTTGTGTGTATGTGCAGGAGACCTACCGTCCGTGATATGCTGGTGGTGTACAGTCAGGAGCTCACGAGGCAAATCCAAGAAGCCAGTGAGTTGTTGAGGAGCGCTGAGGCCCATATCGACTCGTTTGCAGTAGGTGTGTGCATACTGATTACCTTTGCGGGTTTTCATGGTAAACTTATCCTGATTGGCAAGGACAAATACCCGATTAGCCAACCAATTAGAATCACTGCATTTAAATTGTTGCCGTATTGGTGTGAGTTATGACTTTAAACACACGACCACTCTGTAGTGTTATGTGATTGGTTAAAAATTTGTGTTCTTATTGTTTGCATAGTAGAAATAAAATCATGTTTCGTTGCACGTATGACCGGTATTTTTCATTCATTTCCGGTTGGAATCGGTTTTGTTTACGCCACGAATCCGTAGTCCGGTAAAATCCGCATTCGAATTTGTATCCGGCCATTATCTGCTCCGTTCCGATTCCAACAAAAAATATATGGCCAAGGATACGAGAAAAGCATTATTTGATCCGCTCTGATCCGTTTACGTCCCTGCCTAAATGGGTACCCATTTGTACGTCTATCCTGATTGTCTGCTCACACCGCATACACGCGACAGTGAACACCTTCATGTGCTCCACCCACTGAAGCACATACCATTTACGAACCAATACTTACATGAGTATATAACCTGCAAAGGAGTGCAAGCCTTCTTCTTGTAAAAAATCACATTATTGTTGGATAATAAAAGAAACCAACATAAGGCAACACTCCCATTAGGATATGAGTGGAAAGCTTCTTATTGATACCTACAACTAGGTGCCAAAAATATTATGCACATTACAAGACGAATATAAATTTAAGCCACCTTTTCTATAGATCAAACAACTCGAGCGAACTTGTATTCTGGTCACAATAAAGGACTAGAGTTTGGCAAAATAAAATAAAAATATATGCACCTTCAGTGTAGAAATATTCAATCATGCATGAATTTACTTTTAGAAACATGTAAATACCAAATTTTCATTAGATGCAAAATCCACCGAGCCCTTGATTTAGAAAGAAGTATCTCTTGTCAACTTCGCAACATATATGCACCCTTGTTTCATTTATTTGTTGTAGCTATCTATGAAGCCACTGTTGAACTGGGACATAATCGGGCTATAAGAGTTGTCACCTCAGATTTTTAATGAGCCGGGGAGAGAGAAGAGGAGTGGATCGTAAACTTATACTACCTTCATCCTGGTTTATTGGTACTATTCATATTTTGTCCCAAAATTTGACGTATATTTAACTAATAAAATGTTAACGCATGTGATTAAAAAATATATTGTTGGATTCATATTTGAACATAGTTTCTATATGATACTATTTTTTGCGACATGCATTAATATTTTGTTAATTAAATTCATGGTCAAAATTTGCCACAATATACAAAGGGACAATAAACCAGGACAGAGGTTGTAGCCAACTGAAGCACGGTCATCAACACACTTTATGGGAGAAGAAGATGTGTAAGGCCTCTTCCAATGCATCAGTGCTTACATGAGGTGCTAAATAGATTAAAAACTTTAGCAGCTAAAGCCCTCAATGCATAGGTGCTTAATTTGTTGGTGCTAAGCATCCTTCATTTAATGATTTGCAACTAAAGTTTTTCATGCATTGGTGGGTTTCTTTCATTTAAGTGTTTTGCCTAAGTTCTCGCGCTTGGCATTGTTTCCTTCTGGGGTCACCACACTCATCTCTCTCTTCTTAATTACATTGCCACATCAGATTTTTTGCCTACATGACAGTCTTAGCACCTGTACAAGGTGGTGCATTGGGAGGGGTGGCATTAGCGACATAATATGTAGAGCTAGCGTGTACAATATGAATGTGCTTTTAGATTGACTATATATATGACGTGGTGAAATAGAGCATGCAGCTGGGTCTCTAATTAGTCTTGCTCTTAGAGCTAGGTTCATACCCCCTTCGTTTCAGTATACAAGACATGTTGCTATTTTCAAAAGCCAAACATTTATATGCTTGATCAAGTTTATAGAATGGTTATATTAGCATCTATAATATCAAATAAATAAAGTATAAATATATTTATGGTGAATCTAATGATACTGATATGACATTGTAGATATTGGAAATCAAACACAGAAATTTAGCTGTCTCAAATCTTGATTGCTAGCTGGATGCTCCATTATGAGAGTAAAAAAAAGGAGACGAGAGGAGTACTGTCTGAGACACCCATTGCCTTTTCTTGGAAAAGAGAAGCATGGAGGCACATGCATGCTGAAACCGCCCGTACGGCCACATGGCAAGGCAACTGCTGGCCAGCTACCCGCTACCGCACCAGGGTTGCCATGGTTGAACGCTGCAACACGACAGACACGCACAGTGACATACTCCCGTGCGGAGACGCCCGTTGATGCATGGGTCGACAGTTCATAGGCAGTGAGGCACCACACACACATGCATGGGCATGTGAACGTTGCGATCTCGCCAGGCATACATGCATGGGCATGTGAACGTCTGACTGAAATGTTCTCTGCCTCCGATGGCCGTACCGCCCGATTATTATCTAGCTTTTTGTGCCTGCATGATTGCACATATATAGGATCAGTTTGCTTGATCTGGAAGAGAGACCATGCATGGTCAGTTCGATGTTGGATCTTGGATGTCATGGTGGTGCTGGTGGTGGTGCTGGTGGGGCATGCAGGCTTGTTCTGTGGTAATTTGGTGGTTACATGTGCAGCCAGCAGCTGATCAATGGTAGCAAAAGCAAACCCATAGATCTAGTGACAATATTTATGTCAATTTATAGTACACTACTCTCTCTCTGTGTCCGCGAAAACTTCTAGCTTTTGCCCTTCAAAGTTTAAAAATTTTGACCAAACTTATAGAAAAAAGTAGTAACATATATAACATCAAATTGGTACATTATGAAAGTACATTTCAAAATGAATCTAGTGATACTAATTTAGTGTCATAAATACTGCTATTTTTTTATAAAGTTGATCAAATTTTAAAACTATGACTCAGGACAATAGTTAGAAGTACACTTATTTGCTGATGGAGGGATCAATGTCATAACAGTCTCACTAAGTCTCAGTCAACTGAGACTTTGTTATGTCTCAGTCGATACTATCTTCCTTTGATTTTGCATAGAGATTCGTGCAAAAATTTATTTTCAGTTTTTCTTTTTTCTTCTTGTATATTATATCACTTGACTGAGACTTGATTAAGTCTTAGTCGACTGAGATCTAGCCACACCCATGTCATAAATTGTACTACTTTTTTTATAAAGTTGGTCAAAATTTAACACTTTAGACTTGGGGACAAAAGTTAGAAATACATTTATTCGCGGACGGAGACGGTATGTTTCTATCTAACTCTAACGTTGGCTTGTTAGAAGACTGGCAACAACTACAACGAGTGCGGGGGTTCTTCCGAAGATGAGCAGGAGACCAGGGACGTCGCCGGCCTGCCTTCCGGCGAGGGCAAGCAGCTGACGAGCCAGCTCCTGGACAAGTACAGCAGCTACCTGAGAAGCCTCTGGAGGGACCTCTCCGGGAAGAAGAAGAAGAAGAAGAGCGGGAGGCTGCCGAGGGAGGCGTGCCAGAGGCTCCTGCACTGGTGGCAGCTGCACCAAGGATGGCCCTACCCATCGGTACGTGCTTGGCTATGTACGAGTGCTTTTGGGTTCATGCGTGCATGCATGGAGATCGTTACGTATCTTGGTTGGAGCTTCAAAAGCGCTAATGGCGCCATAAGTGCGTGCGTTCCAGGAACCGGAGAAACTGGTGTTGGCGGAGTCGACCGGGCTCGACACGAGGCAGATCAACAACTGGTTCGTTAACCAGAGGAAGCGGCACTCACTGGTGGAAAAAGGGCCTTTGGTCGCGGTTCGCAACTGTCATTAGTCGCGGTTGCGCAACCGCGACCGACGGGCGTGACTAAAGGCCGCCGCAGGTTTAGGGTTTTAGCCCCCCCTAAACCTGTTTTCTGTTTAATTTGTATTGTTTTATTTCTTTTGTGCTTTATTTTAATTTTGAA